ACCTCAGGATCGGGCAGGGCTTGTGAACAGGACCCATGGGCTATGGAGTTGGCTGGGTCACATGACAGCAAGGTGGAGGCTTTCCTGGCCACAGTAGGCTGTGTCTCCTTATTGCCGGGCTGTGTTCCCTGTTCTGAGTAGCTGAATGGCAGAAGGCAGGCAAGCAACCTGGCCCCACTTAGAGGAGCGCCTCCTTTCAGAAATCCAGAGCCAGTCCTCAGACAAGCCCTACACTAGCCCTGGGGAAAATGGGAGGCTCTGCTGTCAGCCACTCTTCTTGAGTTTCAAGACAGAAAGAAAGATGTTGGCTTGGAGGTTTAGGATGCTGTCTCTGGTTCTGTGGGTACTGCCATTGGATCTACAAAGTATGGATTGTACAGTCTCCTGGACCACAACTACAACGAGATCCTGAGAAGTCACCAAATTTCCACCTCCACCTGCAACTCCCTGACACCAGAGTTCACACAGGGCTGAGACTGAGGGGGTCTAGCCTCTGTCTTCCCAGGGATTAGAATTCAGGAAGCCTTTAAAACACACATCTCTCTTCTGCTCTCTGCCGGTCATATTTTGCTACTTGACTCTCCATCGGGAATTACTGGGGGTCTTGGGAGATGTCCCTGGTGGTCTGAATGGCCTAACAGCAGAGGAGGGTTAGGGAATCCTGAAGATTATAGAGACCAAATACTAGGAATATGATTAGAGTCACTCCCAGAGGCCACTCTCCTGGGCTTGAGTTTGGATCAGCACTTTCTGGATTCACTAAAAAAAAAAAAAACACACACACACATCACAGAGGAAAAATGTAATCAGGACTGGCTTCCAGTTTGTCTGCCTCCAAAGACTTTCCTCGCACAGCTTAGACTATGCACAGTGTCATTCGCTTTAATTAAGCAAGGCAAGCATCTTCTTCCCCGTATGCCTTTCTGGGAGAAGAGCCAGCCTGCGCCTAATAAAGCTGGGTGTTTTCCACATTGTGTCTTCAACTGAGCTGACTTAGCTGGTTTTCATATTGTTCAACATTCTCCTAGCAAAATTGCCAATGCCCTTATTAGCATAGCCCAATCTGCAATGTCCAGACAGGCATTTCATAGGACAGTTACCAAATCCATGCTGATGAATGGCAAGCCCTTTTTCTGACTCCTGGGTAGAAGGGTTATGTAGGCAATGGGTGCCTTCCTATGAGAGCTCAACATGGGGAAAGATGGGAGCTCACCACAGGGAATAGTGGGAGCTTTTTGCTGGCAATGTTGGATGCCAGAGAAAGTAACACGGAAGACATCAGGATAACAAACAGGGCAGGGCCATGGAGGCCTTGGTTGGGGGTGAGAGGTTCCCACAGACCCATGGGCTACAGGAAAAGTGAGCCACGTGCTGGATTTCTGACATGGTGCTGGGTCTTCCAGATGAGGTGGAGCCATGAGCAGTCCACCTTTGTCCTTTGGGAAGCTGAAAAGCATGAACCATGGTCCAGTCTTTGTAAAGGACAACAGCTGGACTCTGCTCACGGCCACGGGCACGGTGGACACGATGGAACAATGCTACTAAGCAAACCCAGGAGGGACAAAGACGTCACCACCTGCTTACAGTGGATGGAGGGACAGATGGTTGGAGTGCAGCTTGTGACATGAGAAGGTAGGGTACCAGGAAAGACTGATGAGGGCCTCTGCTGAGTGGCCAGGACAACACCAACAGGGACACTAAGGTTCTGAGTGAGTGGTAGACCTCCAAGCTGTGAGTGCTGCCAGCTAACAGACAAGACATTCCCGTCTGTAAGGAAGAAAAACTGTTGTCACATCCTATGCAGGGAGAGCCCGAAGGGCTGGCAGCACATGGCAGTGGGAGATTTGACTGCCGGTGGCATTTCTGGGAGACGGTTGAGCCTTCATGAGGTGGGGCTAGCAACTGGGAACATGCCTTTGAATATGACATATATCCCTGCCTCTCTCCCCTCTCCATCTCCTACCTGGGTGTTCTGCCTTATCAGGGCCCCAAAACAACACAGCCGGAAATCTCTCTTCCTTGAAGTTGACTTTCTCAGGTGTCTTTCTGATAGCAAAAGAAAATTATCAAGAACTAAAATTAAAACTCAACATTAGGCAGCACTTGAACAATTAGCTTAACTAGAAGAGACTTTCATGGCTTAAACATTTTGTTCTTCACTCTGTTCCCTGGAGAAGTCCCTGGCTCATAGCCATTCCTGTCACATGATCAGCCACAGACCCTCTTTCCCCCCCACTCCCCCCCAACCCCCCAACAGCTTCAGTTTCCTGCAGGTTTTTCCAGACTGACTATGGCCAGTACTGCTGCTCTGTGGACCATCGTGGGTCATTAATGTCAGTTGCAGTATGAAAGTTTCGTATTGCTTTGGTTTGGTCTTTGTCTTACTGGTTTTCTTGTTTTAAGTTTGCTTGTTTTGTTTCTTGTGTTTGGGGTTTTGTTGCTTTCTTTGGGTTTTTTTGAGAGGGAGAAAGAACATGAAGCTGGGTGGGTAGGGATACGGGAAGATTTGGGAGAGTGGAGTAGGGAAAAAAATATGATCAAAGTATACTGTATGAAAAAAATCAAAAAATTTTAAAGAGAGTAAAATGCCTTATTCCCTTCTACCTAACAAATACTGTTTCTTTATTCATATGTAACATTTATATGTATATACAAACAGGATATTTTACTCTCTAAATAGTAATGTCCAAGGACATTTAACAGTCCATCAACGAGAAGATGGTTGACCAACCATATTTACTTCCATTCTGGAATTTTATACAGTAAAGAGAATGGAGAGGATCTAAAATGTTCCCTATAAACAGTGTGTTCACAAAACCACATATTCAATGACAGGAGACAGGGAACTTGTTTGTACAACAAAGAAAAAATACATTGAAAACACAGTTCTAGGGGCTGAACTCAGTGATTAAGACTATTTGTTTAAAAAAAGAAAAAAAAATAACTTGGTCTTGCAGAAAACCTGGATTTGGTTCCCACTATTCACATGGTGGCTCACAACCATCTGCAACTCCAGTTCCAAGGGATATCACGCCATATTCTGACCTCTGAGTGTACACACATAGTTCAGATGTACATGCTGGCAAAACAACCTATCCTAGGGTTTCTACTGCTGTGAAGAGACACCATGGCCATAGCAACTCATAAACGAAAACAGTTAACAGGGTGGCAGCTTATACTTTCAGAAGTTTAGTCCATTATCATCGTGGTGCAACATGGTGAGTGTACAGATGGAAATGGAGGTGGAGAAGTAGCGGAGGGTCCCAGATCTTGGCTTGCAGGCAACAGGAAGTGGTCTCAGACACAGGGTGTGGCTTGAACATACAAACCCACCCCCACAGTGATACACTTCCTCCAACAAGGCCACACCCACTCCAAAGCCACACCTCCTAATAGTGCCACTCCCTTTGGAGGCCATTTTCTTTTTAACAACCACACATCCACATACATAAAATAAAAAAAATCTTTAAAAGATTAAAATCACAGCTCTAAATAAGCCAGTGTCTACATATAAGGGAGAACATGCACTTATAATGCATATACATAAACGTATATGAATGTAGATAAAGTCCAAAAATTTAGAAAGGAGGCTGAGAGGGTCATAGTGGGTGATGCAGAAGGATGGGGTTCAGGCAAAAGAACACATAGGACATGAGAGAGGACAGAAAGCTAATTTTTCTCTAGTTTCACAGTAGATATGTGAATTCAACTTTTTGAGCATTAAAGCAGCAAGAACCATTTTACATTTCAAAGGAATCCAGTATGTCTTATTCCTCTGAGCCATAGAGTGTACAAGCTGGGCTTTCTTTAATTCCATTGACCATTCATGAAATAGACATGACTAGCCACACTGACCCAACTTAGGAAAGCAGTTTTTAAAAATTCGTTCTTGGGGAGGGGTTTTGTAACCTGATTTTTTTTTCTCTTTTTTTTTCTTCTGTTTAAAACTGTATCCATTCTATTATAATGTTATTTCACATATAAGTCATATTACTATACATAAAATACAGTTTTTAAAAATAAATGTACATGGCTGGAGAGATGGCCCAACTGTTAAGAGTGTTGACTGCTCTTCTAGAGGACTCAGGTTTGATTCTCAGCACCCACATGGCAGCTGACAGTCATCTGTAACCTGTTCCAGAAGATCTGAGGGCAGCAGGCATACAAAACATACATGTACGGTAAAATAATAGTAAAATAGATACACTTAAATTAAAAGTTGAAGAGACAGCCTCACATGCAGGGCAGTTACTTCTCATCACAGACCCTCTCAAAGCTTTTTTCCCCTCCCTCAGGTTTACTGCCTTTTTTCTGTTAAAACCAATTTCCTAAATATTTGAAACCAGTTGTGGTGGCACACGAAGTAGGATATGCTGAAGAGGCAGAAGCAGGAGGATTACAAATTTGAGACCAGCCTGAGCTACGCCTTTATACTGGAGAGATGGCTGAGGATAAAGGGGTTCACTGCCAACCTGACAGCTTGAGCCTGACGCCCAGTAGCTACCTGGTGGAAGGAGAGGACCAGATTCCATAACTGCCCTCTAATCTACCACACCAACACACACTCTCTCTCTCTCTCTCTCTCTCTCTCTCTCTCTCTCTCTCTCTCTCTCTCTCTCTTTCTTTCTCTCTCTCTCTCTCTCTCTCTCTCTCTCTCTCTCTCTCTCTCACACACACACACACACACACACTATAAAAACATGTTTCTAATATATTTTAAAAACTCCATGAGGACATTTTGATCAATGAAATAAAATCCATGCTGTGTGCCACTCAGGTAAGGGAGACGAAGGAACACAGAGTTGCATTGTGTCTGAGGGGCGCTCCTTCTGGAAGGCTGGACCATGAGCAGATCATCGTGAGGTCTGAGGATGCACTCATGAGAAACCCCACATGAAAGGCCCTGACCTTTGCAGAATAAAGTGGAAGGATGTAGAAATAAAATGTGTGAAACCACTTCAATCAAAACAAATGACAGGAAAATATCATATGCTTCATAGTATTTTTAAATAATTTATGCACATAAATTTATTCAAATATCACAATTTTATACCATGAGAATGTTTATTTTACATGTGATCGATTCTTTTACCATCATTTTATTTTTTTCTAGTGTCCTTTGTTTCTATACTTTTAAAACAGAATTTTCCAGAAGTTAAAAGAGAGAAACATTCTTTCTACTAAATAATATCACATTTAACTTAGAGGTTACATAACTTTATACTGGGGGTGGGGTAGTCACACTTGTTAGTGGGTCCCAAGGTAGCCCTGAGGTCTAAATAGGAAAATATCCTATATAAACTATAGTAAAATTCTCATCTCAAAATAAAACACTCTGTAATTTACAGTTATATCCATATTCAACATCTTTACAGCATCCAGAAACTAAGGGGAGTTTTAAAAATGATGAAGGAAATCACTTCACGTTCAGAAAACAGCCCAAACCAGGAAGGCAGAAACCAAACTCTGGCAATGCAGAAGTCTGCTCTATTCCTCATCTGTCAGTCTCCGAGGTGGAAAACACAGAGTCTCACACACCCGGCAAATTCTAGGCACAGGTCTTTTCTTGTTTGCCTTTTGGAACTATCATTTGGACCAAGGAAGTTCCAGTCATAGTAGACTTTGTCATCACTTGAATGGAATACTGGGTTCTAACTCCATAGCAGGCCCCAGGCTGTGGGTGGAGAGGACAGTGGTATAACTTCTAGACACACAGTGCCCACTCACACTCTCCATCAAGTGTACTCACTGTTCACCATTGTGAACCAATTTCCAGAGCTTTCTGACTGGTGTGAGTTGGGCGCCTGATCACTACTCCTCAAATCTACAAAGGGTCAGGTCAACAGAGCCTACTGCTCCACCTCGGATGGCTAGCTTCAGTTCTCACTCATCTGCATCTTCTTTTAAAATGACGGAAGTCACATCACAGCGAAGACAATGTTTTCAACACCAGCACTGGTCAGCCGATCTAATACCAAGGCAGACTGGGAAATCCTAACGCTGCCCCCGAGTAACACGCTCTTCTAGGGTGTTCGTCTGTGTCAAGTCCCACAGAACATACTCCCCCCAAGCAGGAGGGCAGCTCTGGGAGCTCTCCAGGGGGTCCTCTTGGGTCTGGGTCCCTCATACAACTGACCCACATCAAAGCCAGAGCTGGACCAGAGGCAGCTACGTTGTTTGCTCTCAGTCAGCACCATCTTCTATTAGGACAGCCTAGGGTATGCAAACTTCAGCCATGTCAGGTCTCACATTGTTTGGGGACTCCAGGTAGACCTCCAGGCCTTGCAATCTGCCTGAGTACACACTTCAAAACAGGTCACAGACACTCCCTGGGGGCCACTGTGAGCTGCTGTAGCTAGTACAAGCAGAGCTCTGGCCCTTTGGTTGGCGTATTTGAGTGGACAGCACGCACGGTCCCTGCTAATGTAAGCTGCTGCTGAGGGTTACCAATGCACAACAGGGGCTTCACCTTTCATTGTCATCTCACTTCAGGGCAGGGGAAAGGGCTGGAAAACTGCATGTGTGGCCCATGGCATCCAACAGCAACACCTGAAAACCAGCCAGACCAAGGCAGGCAGCATCCCGACAGCATGGCTGAGTCTTTAAATGGTAGTCCTAAATTAAATAAAGCCTCCAGAGGAACTTCAGTCACTTATTTAAAACGTTAAGGAATAAGCTGGGAATTCAGGGACAAGGGAACAAATGGCTGACCCGAGTCACATAGATGTAAAGAGCTGGCAATGGGTGATCATGAACAACTTTTCATTCTTGGTGGCTAATGCTACCGTCACTTTGAGAGGCCCAGTCATCCCTGTGATAAATGTGACTTTGTTGTTTCTTCAGGATCCATCATGGTCAGGGTTCCCTCCTTCACTCTCTAGAAACCATAACCCTCCACATTGTTGCCCAGCTTGAAGGGGCGCAGGGCTAGCAGCACAAACCAAATCCAGCACTAGAGAACTCATGGGGACCCTTCTGGAACTTCCCAAACACGAAGAGAAAAGGCCTCACTGTACAAGAAGAGGGAGTTTGCAGTGAGACACCATCACTCAGCAGCATAGGGAATAACTGGTGATGCTTCCAGACTCCTGGGGACGGGAGCAGCCCCGCTCCGCACAAGCCTCTATCTTATCTATAACAGCCTTACCTCCACTCTAGAAACCTGGTCCCAGCTGGGAAGGAATGGGCACAGGCCTCTGGGCACACCCTCTCTGAGTCGCTAAAGCCCACTTTCTGGCTCACCCCATGAATCCTCCCCATCCTGATGTGTAGTCAGGGGAATCCACAGCTGAGATGGAAATGCATCATCATTCTGACTTTTCTCTAAGGATCAGCTGTGGCCCAAGAGCCTGGAAGGGGCTGAAGAAGTTGTGAAGTCCCTGGAAGAAGCTGAAGAAGTTGCGAAGTCCCTCCTGCCCATGGAGGCCATGGGGACCAAATGTGCAGTTTCCCTCACCCTCCCCTACGAGCTCTGTGGAATGACTGTGGAGAGAAGACCAGGGTGTGGCATCAGTCACCTCTGCCTATCTAGAACCAACTGTTAACACGAGGACCACACCCAGAAGCAGTAGCTGAGAGACACAGCTGTGGTTTCATATGCACAGCCATTCCCCCTGCCCTGGTCCCCAAAAATCTCCAGAGAGACAAGTCCCAAGAGCTCACTTAGAAACAGCAGCTTTGCCAGGTGTTGGTGGCGCATGCCTTTAATCCCAGCACTCGGGAGGCAGAGGCAGGCGGATCTCTGTGAGTTCGAGGCCAGCCTGGTCTACAGAGCGAGTTCCAGGACAGCCTCCAAACCAGTACAGAGAAACCCTGTCTCAGAAAAGAAAGAAAGAAAGAAAGAAAGAAAGAAAGAAAGAAAGAAAGAAAGAAAGAAAGAAAGAAAGAAAGAACCTGCAGCTTTGATACTATCCTGGAAATACTTCTGTCCAGTTAAGTCCTAATTGACTTCAACATCAAAGAGATTTAAAATACACTTCAACTTTTCCCCTAACTATATTTATGTATAAATCCCTGAGAAGACACCTGTCCGCTTGGAATTCACTATTTACAGTTAATAGACATGAGGGCCTGCTCTTCTGCTCTCCTAAGTCAGGAGAGAGGACCAGGCCTCCCTTCCAAAAGCAGAAGGCAGAGATGATGTCCTGAAGCCACGGCCCTGCCCTCCATCCACTCCTGGGGATCTAGAGGTCTCTGCCTGGTAATGCAGTGGGAAAAACAAAGGCTTCTCAAGAGCCGTTGTTTTCCTGCCTTCTTAGACCTCAAGGCACCTGGCACCTGGTGCCACATGAGCAGGGAGTTCAATCAGACGGGGAAAGAAGCAAGCAGAAGAAAGGGTGATGGAGGAAGAGGTCACACGAAGAATGTCAGGGGATGGCACGATGCTAAAGTATATGGATTCTCGCTGGGTTATGTGCCAGACTCCCTCTATGAATAACATGGGGTACAGGGAGATTGTCTGTGAGTAGATAGCAACTGTTCAAACAACAAAACAAAAACTATTCCTAAAGAATGCTGCTAGAGCCGGGCGGTGGTGGCGCACGCCTTTAATTTCAGCACTCAGGAGGCAGAGGTAGGTGGATACCTGTGAGTTCAAGGCCAGCCTGGTCTACAAACCGAGTTCCAGGACAGCCAGGGTTACACAAAGAAACTCTGTCTCGAAAAACAAAACAAACAAACAAAAAAGAATGCTTCTAGATGTCAAGGGCACTAGGGGAACTTGAAGACTGATGAAATCTCTAGTGAACCCCTCAACTAAAAGAAGATAAAGCTAACAATATGGTTTAAGAACGGACACCCTCCTTCAGTTGCCCCCACAGAATACCAGCGGCCTGAGACAGCTTCTTCCTTCTCAACCAGGAGTGAGCCCCGCACCTCCCTCCACCTCCCCTCACCCTCTTCACTCCCAGGTGGCCCCGAAGGCCCAGGCAAGCATGGGTAGGAGGGCTCTGCTCACAAGTGTTTGTCCCCATGCTCCTCCCAGCATGCACTCTGAGCAGGACACCTGCTTCCTTTCCGATGCCCCACTCGAGAGAGAGAATACAAGAGTGACAGCCACCCCAACCCTAGAATGAGGAAGAGGCTGGGCAACATTTTCCTTGACAGGGAAGTCCCTGAAGGCGTGGTCCCTCCACTGAAGAGAAGGCCTCCCACAGGACAAGCTCAGACGCACTACTGGAGAGACACTGAGAAGACTCTACAGCCCAGGATGCACTGGCCTGTCCTTCCCTTGGGTCCCCTGAGTTTCACAACTCAGTTTTTCTCCCTGGTAAACAAACTAAAGCTCACCAGGAAGAGGGGCTTCCCCAGACTTCCACACGTCTCTCATTGACCTCGACCTTCTTAGTGCAAGGCTCATCAGACAAAGGCAGTTCCACAGAACAAGGAAAGAGTTCACAACAACAGGTGTTGGTGGTGCACACCTTTAATCCCAGCACTCGGGAGGCAGGCGCAGGAGGATCTCTGTAAGTTCGAGACCAGCCTGGTCTACAGAGTAAGTTCCAGGACAGGCTCCAAAGCAATACAGAGAAACACTGTCTCAAAAAAAATGGACAAAAAAAAAAATTCACATCAAGATCTGAAAAAAAAAGTCCCTGGACTGACCCAGGATTGAGGGTTTAGAAGCCTTTTAAAATAACACATGTTGCCAAAGCTTCTTAGAGCTAAGAGGAGTGACATCATCCGATGCCTGGTCAGGGCTGGCACATTTAAGGGGGGAGTTCCTCTTCCAAACGCTTGGGAAGCAAAAGCAGCCTCTGACTCCTTACTGCAACACCAAGCACAGTCCATGCTTGTGTGGGATGGGTCTGAAAATGAATCATGAAAAGGTAAGTGGATGGGAGGGACCAAAAATGGGCATCTCTGATTGGTCAGCAGCAGGGACCCAGGCTTCAGAGGGTTATGTACCATTGCTAATGTGACCCTAACACAGTGTAAACAGGATGGGCGACTTGCCAGTGCACAAATACCAGACACTAAGTCATTCCATGTCGGAGCTGCCTGAAACCAGACAACCTGCAGAAATGGAGCCTGTTATGGGAGCTTAAGCTGGATAATCCAGGAAAAGCCCCCTGAAAGAAGTGGGGCTTCCTACAGTCTCTGCTGAGAAGCCACAGTCCCAGTTCTACAGCAGTGGTTGCCTTGGTGCTCCCCGCAGCACTGGGGTACAATTCCCCTCTGTGGCAGGGAAGTGGGTTAAAACTGTGTTGTATCTGTGGACAACCAGCACGAGGAAAGTGGATTGTAAGCAGTGTAGCTAACAGCGGCAGGGTCTGTGATGAGCTGGGTGATTATTACATATTCATGTCGGGAAGATCCACAGTGCCAACAGAGTCAGAAAAGATGGTCCCAAAAGATCACTGAGGTTGGTTGCAGTCCTCACAGCCCCCAAGGAGATGTAGTCAATCAAGTCCTAGGTCACAAGGATGAACCCAGCCAAATAAGATCAATAGTTGTATAGGAGGGTCCAGACGCCTCCCCCCATTCAGCTTGGTACCTTAGAAACTTACTAAAATGTGATTTTTGAACACTGAATGGTGACATCACCTGGGAGCAACCTACACTACTATTTTATGGAGTTTTGGGAAAGGTTAGGGAGAACTCCTATTGTTCAATGCCTAATGGTACCAAATAGGAAGGAATAAGAATAAGCCAGTCTCCCCCACCCCACCCTGCCCACAGTGTGAGATAGACCTCAGCGAAGGGCTTCCAAGTCTGTAGTATTCTGAATCTATAGCTTCCAAATATTATATTAAATGTTCAAATAAAGTGCATGTGTAGCAGATACTCAAGACCCAGTTGGGATTTTTTCAGTGCTTTGGAGATAAAAGAAAGAAAGATATACAGGCAAAACTTTCAAGACAAATCCCATTCCTACCAAAGTCCCACACATTGGAAGGTCTACAAAGTTGGTGGGGGAATAAACCAAACACTGGGGCCCATCAAAGTGGAACCGTCAGTCAAAACACAGAAGGGACTCTTTGGAGGACAGGACCACCACAAGAGTGCAGTCCACCCCAAGAAAACCTTCCGAAACTGCTCAGTATCCAGGCGTACCACCTGCTTGAAAAGTCACCCGTCTGCCCTTCAAAGTCTGCAGCATCCCTACCCGCTGCATCTTTGACATCTTTTAAGGGTATCCACATTCACTTGTCTGAGCACTCACGACTTTGTTTCTATTACTCACTTGTTAAATCTTCCCACATTAAATAATTGTTTTCCTCAAATAGCACAAGCCCCTTGCTTTAAATTCTACAATATGCCATAATCACTTTCAATGTTATGAGTGATGAAGATGAAGAAGATGATGATGATGACAGGAACAAAAGAGTTTAAAAAATTGAAACAAAGGAAGTAAGACTTCATCTCACTTGATCACTTTGAATAGAAGTCAGTGCCTTCATCAAGTAGAAACAGGAATTTGGCATCACTCAAGTTAATAGGAAAAGCCAGTGAGCAGGTATGTCCATGGGACACAAGAAGGCCAAAGCCAGAACCAAATGGCAAATGGGGAGAATTCCACAAGTTCCGTGTAATTCACAGTCATTACAAGTATTTATTGCTAGAGACAGCATTTTAAACAAAGGGTCTCCAAACACAAGTATTAAAACTGCCTTAATTACAAAGAGCCTGTCACTTGTAAAATGCTGCAATTTTTCATAAATAACAAAATACAAAAGTATGTGAAAATGCCCTTTGATAAATTAGTTTTTTTAATTCTTAGTTGGGGTCCTCTAAGGGGTGACTTCTAGGTAAACTGCCCTTTCGGTATATAGATTGCACAGGGAACTAGTCTTAAGCGAAACCATCCGTACTCTTTTCAATTCTGCCTTGGGAGCAATGTGCCCTCCCCTTCCTGGGTCTAGGAAAGGAGAACGGCCCAGAGGCTGTGTGATGCAGGATGCACCCCATGGCAGAAAGGGGCACCCCTCTCTGTGGTGCTGTCTACACCACCCGCAGCCTCCCAACTGGATCCCTGCACTGGCTCCCCACACCAGGCACACACGTGTTGGGCATCACAGCCCCTTCACGTCCTTTTCCTCCAGCGCGACGCCCGCTTTTCCTTCTGAACCTCTGCCTGGCGTTTCTTTTCTGCCTCCTCCGCCTTCCTCTTCTCCTCCTTGGCCTCCTTGTACCGCCACTTGGGGATCTGCAGGTATATGCTGTCCTTGGTGTTGCTCTTGGGAGCTGCGCGCTCGGGCTGGAAGGTGGGCGCAGGGGCCTTACTGATGCGCACTCTGGGGACCACCACGCCTGGCCGCACGCTGCTCCTCCGCAGCAACTGCAAGGGTAGGAGGCTGGCCTTCCGAGAGACAGGGGCAGGGGTGGATCCTGGTGCCCCAGAGGACTGGGACGACCAGGGGCTGGCTCTGGGGGTCTCCAAAGTCTGGAATTGCGTCTCAGAGCCCTCTACCTTGTTGCTATCCTGAGCATCGGTGTCCCGGTTCCTCCTAGCTGCTAGGATTTCCTGCACTGCTAGGCGTCGTTTCCCCACACAGGGAGGGTTCTCCGGGCACACAGTCTGGCAGACAACAGCAACAGCAGGGCTATAGAGGCTTGTGGTCATGGTAACCATGTGATCAAGGACACCTCCATCCTCCAGGCTCTGGCCTGAGCGGGAGGTCAGAGTGGTCCGCAGGAACTCGGTGAATCTCTGAAAGCAGTTTTTGGAGCCTGCCGGTTTCAAGAGCATCTCAGCCGAAAGCGGCAATTCCAGCTTGTACTTTTCCCCAAACTGTTCTGGGCAGGGTCGCTCCATCAGCCTCTGCATGACACGAACAGCCTCCACTCGGCCAGTATATGCAGCCCACTCCTGTGGTGACATCCCACGGTGGGGATCCCTCGCTTGAACATCTGCCCCTGAAAAACAAGAACACACATGAAGAAGTGAATGGACCAGGCGGCCAAGTATGCTTTCTACAGGCAATGAATGATGGCAGAATTCCTGACAATCATGCTGGTTAATTTTGTATTCATTTGGCTAGGCCAGAGTACCCAGTGGTTTAACCAATCCTGAGCTGGGCACGAGCCTGGACTCAAAGCCGAAGGGTTACTTTCCAAATATGGCAAGCCTCATCCCATCAGCTGCAGACTGTAAGAGCAAGGACAGGTTTCCTGGAGCAGAGGCTCCTGACTGCACACACTCTATACATTTCAGAGTCCTGAATGACCATGATTGCCTAAGACTCGTTAAACGAACCACTCTACTTATGTGCCCTGTGGGCCGCTTCTTTAGAGACTCCCCAGGCACACCTGGAAATCTCTCCTCTGAGTTCCCTTTCCCAAAAGACACTGTAGATTTAAACCCCAGCTCAGCAGAGATCTGCACACATCCCAACTTCTGCCTACAGAAATGGATGCAGAATCACCATTCAATCTCAGCCCAATGTAGTTAAAAACCATGCCGGAGTTCAAGTCCCATTACTCTCCACTGGCAAAGCATCCAGGAAAACTAGGTCAATTACCTAGCGTGTGAGCTCCCCGGGGACCCAGCCAGTTAGGGCATCTCCATTTGTATCTTACACAGACCCACCTGCCTAACATAGTGGCTGGTTGGTTGTTCTGAGCCAAGAGTATGGGGCTCAGCCACTTCCCTGCCCTGCAGGCCAACAGCAGCCTCGTGGCTGGGAAGACCACCTTCCTAAACTCAGCTACTGCAAGCCTGGGTCCTGCGACACATTAAAAGAATACCAGGTCTTAGGAAAGTGGCAGTTATTTGGAACTGGGATTCAGGAGGAACTCATTAGCTGGAGCACAATTTATAAACTAGCGAAAATGAAAAGGGGGCAGTAAAAGTGCCACTGCAAAAATAGATGACACATTAAACCTTAATTAATTGCATGTCACTTTAAAAGGGAACAAACTGCGAAATTAAAACTTTAATGAACACTGCATGAAAGAGACATTTTTCAAATGCTAATGAAAAAGGAAAGGAATGGCTGTCAGAGCTTAGCAGTCTTCCTCCCACCTTTTAACATGACCAGAAAACAAACTCTATAAATCAAGGTGACCAGCCAATCCTACTGTAGCAGCCCTGGGCCCCGAGTCACCATGCTCCATGTAATGATGCGATTCCCTCTGGAAACTGTTGCTAAGGATAACCACAACTGAACCATGAGTGATGAGTACACCTGTCCCTGGTCTCCCTCCACAAGGGATTGGGTCCAAGACCCCCAGTGGATACCAAATTCTGAAGTGACCCAGGTCGCACATATAAAGTGGTACATTTGCACAGAACCTATGCACATCGCCCTATATACTGACACACGGAAACATCTCCTGATTGCCCATAATCCTAACTCGATACAAATGCTATCATTGCTGCATTGTGTATAGGGAATGGCAACCAAAAAGGTCTGTCCATGAGTGTGTGTGTGTATATGTCTGTGCGTGTGTGTGTGTGTGTGTGTGTGTGTGTGTGTATGTGTACGCGCGCGCTATCAGAGCTAGCTAAACCTACAGACAAAATCTAAGACACAGAGTTGCAGCACTGGGAATTGAATCTAGGACCTTGCATATGCCAGGAAAATGCTCTAGAAGATGATTCTAGAAGATGGTTCACACTTTACACTGCTACCTTTGAAAGAGTGACAAGAGCTTGGGAAATGCTGCTGCACCCATGTCCTTACAGTGGATCATCAGCGCCCCGCTCCCAGCCAGCACCATTTCACCCACTGAAAAAAACTGGAGACATGACTTGGGCTCTCACTGCTGTGTCTGACAGCTGCCATGCTACCTATACAAAGTGCTCTACTACACTCAAGGCAGCATTATTCTCAACTACATAACAATACATCATGATTGAACCAATGTAGGGTTGCTCAATGTTGGAAGTACTAGAATTTTTGGCCAGTATTTCTTTGTTATGGGGCTAGCCTGTGCACCATGGGATTCTAATAACATCTCTGGTCTCTAAAAGATGCCAGTAGTAATCCATTTGTTGTGACAGCCAAACTCTCCTTTGGTCATTTTCAAATATCATCTAGGAGACAACATTGCCGCATCTTAGAATCACTGGTCTAACCTAAGGACTATGGTCCTGTCCCCCATCCATCCAGCCTCCTGTGGCCCAGTAGGCCAGGCCTGACCAGTGAACGCTAATGAATTGTTTGCCTCCTGCTGCTGTTGATTCCTACCTGAAACACAGATCAGCTCTGGTGACTCCCACAGAATCAAGGTGGCAAATGGGGCTGGCAAGATGGTGCGGTGGATAAAGTGTTAGCCACGTGATCATGAAGACCTCAACGGATTCCCAACCCATGTAAAAAGCCAGGCACTAGGCACGTTGGAGTGCACCTGTAATCCCAGTGCTGGGGAGGCAGAGTCGGGGGGATCCCAGGAGCTCACTGGCTAGCCATTTTAGCTGAGTGAGAAAGCTCCAAGTTCAGCAAGAAACCCTGCTCAAAAAACAAGGTACAGAGAGAGCAAAAGGCCTCCACACACAGTCACATTCACATGCATGGACACCCACACACCAACATGCACACATGTATAAACACACACCAACATGCACGCGCGCGTGCGCGTGCACACACACACACACACACACACCAATATGCACACATGTATGAACACACACACAGAGGTGTCAACTCTGAGTAGGATGTACTGACCCTGTGCTTTCTAATGACCTGAAACATGTCTGCCTTCTTTACATCATCCCCAGGGTGGGGATTTTTTGTTACTGGAACCATCACAAGCAAATGCTAAACAGAACAGGTGGGTCTTCTATCACCCAGGCTCAGAGCCATGAAGACCCAGGCCCAGGCGGCCTATGAGAGGGAGGGAATACAGCAGGAAGCAGAAATGGGTCGCTTCCTTTTACTTTTCTATCTCGGTAGCTACCCTTCATGTTATCTACCCTACAAACCCAGCTCAGGCCTCCCTCCTGCCACTGCAGAGGAGTCCTTGCATTCATCACCATTGTGCCTGCTCTAACCTCTAACTTAGGCCCTGATGTAAGGGCCACCCTCCAACACAGCAGGGATGACAAGCTCCTGTGAGGCTCAGCAAGCAGGAACCTGGCCCTCCTGGGATACCAGCAGGAGGAAGCTCTCACAGCCTACCTGGGCCTTCAGCTGGTGTTCCTGGGAAGCCTAAGTCTCTCGGAGACCAGGCTGCAGCCCAGTGGCCCCCAGGGAACTCAGTCACTCTCACCCCCCCCACTGTGCCTCTTCCAAAGGTCACATTCTACAAAAACTACTCCCTGGGTCTTTTTAGTGGAGAGTCCCTGCTTGTGGGCAGCTTCCTGACTTGAAGAGGAAATTGTTGTCTTCCCTATAAAGGGAAAGCAACTTCTGTGTTGACACAAATCCCTTGGTTTTTTGAGAAGCATGTCATGAGGGCCTGTCTAGGATGAGAGCAAATATACAGCAAATCCTCGCCTCCCTTTCAGTCGGTTTTCTTCCCAGGAACCACGGCAAGGACGCTAGGCTTCAACCTCATGCTCTTCCCAGAGGCTGCAGCGATTACATCACACTTCAGGAATAAAGTGAACTGTTAAGTCTGGAACCTGGCAACCTCTATGGAGGGAAAGAAATCACATCGTTGACAGAGTCACTTACGGAAATAGACCTGTCACTTTGGTGCGTTAATATTCCACCGGGTTAACAAGGAGCTGCATGGCCCTTTCTATTCTTATCAGAGTGGCTGGCATTATCAGAACACTTGATCCCCAACAGTAACCAGGTCAATTTGCAGAATCGGCTGTGCTCGTCATTAAATTCAAAGTTCCGATAATCCTCACGTTATTTTATTCTACCTGACAATGCAGATAAGGGCTGACATTTGTCTGTGGTTTGCCAACTGCAGAAAAATCTAAAGGGTTTAGGGGGTCAGACAATTCAATCATTCATCATTCTAGGTGGAGTGGTTCTAACTGAATGTAATAAAATCACAAGTCAGAAACTCAAATCTGGTGTTAAAAGCACTCAGGAACCAAAGAATCCTGCATTCTAAAAAATAAAAGTCAGAACAAGATACTTGTGTTTTGTGCTAATATATGATATGGTATATGCTTCTTGCTTTTATAATAATCATAGGATGGCCATTCTGCAGTCTGCTACTGAACCACTGTCCTCCAGCGTACATAAATGCACTTGATGCTGAGAGGTTAATTTCAAGAAAAGCACAGGCAACTGGTACCTAGGAATATCTCCATTTTCTTAATACTGTTGTATTTAAATGGAAATAAGAAATCAAAATATCAGTGTAAACTTTTTAAACATCTCAATAGGCATCCTTACCACTGTCTAACAAACCCAGTGGGGGTGGCATTCACTTACACACTGGTTTCTTTTAAGATGCATCTGCTATAAAAAGAAAATGAAGCTAAAAAGACAGGTATAAACTAGAATATTCTAGAAGTTAAGTGTTCCAATCAAAGCTTCTCCAGGAGAAGCTCAGATGCAACCTAAAGGAGGTGCAGTCCAGAACAGAGCAGGCCAGGAAGGAGGACTGTGTCCAACAACAGAACATCTATTCCTCTTTTATCCCACTTTAATTAATTTTATCTGTGACTCTTGGTAGGAAACAATCACATCCTTGGGAGGAGGTAATATCCACAGGCATTTTGGGGTGTCCCAACTGCAGGAAGCTACTGACATATGGTAAGTAGAAGTAATAAAAACTGCTAATGCCCTATACATTGGCAAGATGGCCTCCACAAGGATTGAGCCAGGTCCACACGTCACTAGTGTCGAGATATGCTTATTATTAGCACAAATACCTCATCACAAGGATAATTTTTTAAAAGAGAAATGTGCTCTATTTTTCATTCACAAATGACTCCTGATCGGGTCAATGTATTAATAATGAAAGCTGATTGTAACCAGCACACACTGGCAGTTTCCTCAAAGGTAGGCATCCTGTCCTCACATGAACAAAATCTGACCTACAACTTCCTGTGATAAGGCTGTCATCAGTCCTCTGTCATTGTCTGAGGTCCAGAGAGGTAAGTGACAGGTCCCTGTAAAGGTTAGTAGCAGGCTGCACAGGTAGCTGCACTACTTACTGGCTTTGGGCTTGTTTCTGGTGCATTCTAAAGAATACAGCCAACAATGACATGTACTCCTGATGATTATTCTAGACTTCAGCGAAGAGAAGTTCAAAGTAGTTGTGGGGATCAATAAGGAAAAGCTGCGAGACCTTATGTCAAATTTGTAAGCAAATAGCAGACGGGAGGACTTTATCCTGGGGTTCATCAGTGAAGAGGTCAGTCCCAAGGACTTTCTCCTGGGGTTCATTAATGAAGACGTCACTCCCAAGGACTTTCTCATGGGTTCCCCAAAAGGGAACTCTGATCCCCAGACCACTAAGGGACTCTTTCTGCACCCACTAGAAGAAGAGATGGGAAATACAAAAACACACTCAGCAACAGAAAAACAAATATGACACCGCCAGATTCTAGAGACTCCACACCAGCAAGACCCCAACATTCCAATGCGGACGAAGCAGAAGAGAACGACCTTAAAAGCACTTTCATGAAAATGATAGAGGCCCTAAAAGAGGATATAGGAAAATCCCTCAAAGAAATGGAAGAAAAAACAAACCAGAAATGCAAGAAATGGAAGAACAAACAAACCAAAAATGCAAGAATTGGAAGAAAAAACAAACCAAAAAAGGCAGGAAATGGAAGAAGAAACAAAGCACAAAATGCGAGAAATGGAACAAAAAGCAAACCAAAAAATGCAAGAAATGGAGGAAAGAACAAACCAAAAAATTCATAAAAGGCAACAAATGGACGAAAAGATAAACAGAAAATTGCAAGAAGCAATGCAAACACTGCAAGGGTTGAAAACTGAAATAGAGACATTAAAAAAAAACACAATCTGAAGAAAGGCAGAAAATAGAAAAGCTGGACAAACAGTCAGGCACTACCAATACAAGCATTACCAACAGAATAGAAGAGATGGAAGAGAGAATCTCAAGTGTTGAAGATACACTAGGAGAAATGGATTTATCAACCAAAGAAAACCTTAAATCCAACAAATCCTTAACACAAAATATCCAGGAAATATAGGACTTTCTCATTGGGGTTCAAACATCTACAAAGTGCTATCATATGCATCCTGGGGAGGAGAAGGTGAGGACAGGGAAGTACTCTGGAGGTCAAGAAAGACATGCAGAGCAACTGTGCAGTCATGCAGATCCCGCTTCAGCCTGAGGATATCCCCCATGGAGGCTCTGTGGGAACAGTCCATTCCTACCTGTCCCCATCACCTGTGTCATCTTCAACACTGCAGTCCTTAAGACACAGGCAAGGTCAAAATGAACACTTTCTATACACATGTGTGTTCAAGTGCATAATATACACATGCACCTAAGGAGCTAGGCATATGGAGACCCAAAACTGACATCAGGAATCTTCTGTGAGTACTTCTGACTTGTCCTGGAGCATATTCATCCAGCTGATCTAGCTAGACAGCTTGTTCCTGAGATCCCCTTACTGTTTTCACCTTCCTAGTGTGGAATTCCAGCTGGGCTGCCCTGTCCACTGAGCCTTTATGTGAGTTCTCAGAATCCCGATTCCAGTCCTCAGGCAAGAGGGACATCAGTCTACCCACTGAGGTATTCGCCTGGCCCCCAGAATATATGCCCTTGAAGAATAAATCTGAGCACAGCTAGAGAGCCAATAGACAGACAGACAGACAGACAGACAGATGAGGGAACACACCAATAGGGAGCAATAGGAGTTTCAGGGAATGGCCAGTGCTATAGTCAGTCCTCATTGGCCAGCCCCTGAAGTCATGTGCTTTGGACTTCTTTTTCCAGATGTAGACAAACTCACATATCTCAGGCTGGTCTTAGACTTTGTTATGTAACTGAGGATGGCTTTGAACTCCTTATCCTTCTGCGTCTGCAACGTGAGTGCTGGGCCAGCATACATTACCACACCCAGTTTTGTATTACGCTAGGATTGATTCCCAGGGCTCTGCGTATGCTGGACAAGCATTCTGCTGACTGAGCTATATACCCCGACTTACTTTTGGATTTTTCAAAGAAATTCAGTCACAGGGCTCAAAAAAGCAAAACAAAACAAATCTATTCCTTACTGCCACTGTTTCTGTAAGTGGCATGGGTCTATTTAACATGCATCTTTAGAAGAACCTCCTTGGCATGTCTAGAGCCTAGAGACTACACTGGGCAGGTGGACTTACCTGCCAGCATCAGAGCTCGCACACATTCCGTTCTACCCTGCATGGCAGCTTTCATGAGGGCAGTGAAGCCGAAGATGTTCCTCCTTTCTAGGTCCAGGCCAGGGAAATAATTGAGCAAGTAGTTGGTGATGGTGGCATGCCCTGAAAGAGAATGACACATGCATGTAGAGTCATGTACCCACACAGGTGATCGCTTCTGTGTGGCAGAGAAAGAAACTGCTTAGTATCAACGTGTCGGCTATCACTTGTGTGTGTGCTCCTTAAATCCCCAACACCGTGCTCCCCTAGAACAGGAGAGCAACTAAAACACCTCTCCTCTCCAGCCCTTGACAACCAAGAAAGTATCCAGACATTGCCTCACGCTCCCTGAAGGGGGCTATGCAAGATCACTTCCGTTGTTTCCTTTGCCAACCCCCCTGTGTTCACGTGAACCCCTCCCCCACTTAGATGGCCAGCAAGCCTTGGGCAATGAGAGACTGCAGAATTCCCTCTTCCTCTGTCCTGGAGGAAGCTTCCAGTGCCCAGAGTCATCCATTCTTATGCGGGTCAGGCAGTCTGGGTCTCCATGTTCAACTCCATGGTCAGACCCACAGGTACGGGACCTTGGGACATTCCCGCCCTCTCCGTACCTTATACCACCCTTCCCTTTATCTTTACACGTATGAAGTCAGACCCCTGTGGCCCAGAGTCCCCTTCCCAGCATGATTCCTGGGCAGAGGTTGAATGGGTGGTACAACATAGGACCTTGGGCCAAGAAACACTTCGGAGGCTCTCCTGCTCACCGCCGACTGACAAGTCTGCAGCTGGTGGCAGCTCTGAGAATTGTCTCCCTGCTGTGGCTGCAACCACAGCGAACAGGGTTCCAGGATGGAGGTAGAAGGTGGAGGGGGTACATATGTCCTCGGCCTTCATCCCCCTCCCCAGCCCTCCCACTGTGTGAGCACAATATTAAATCCACCTCATACACTGAGGAGCTTTGGTCGGCCCAACCACAGCCAAGTGACACAGTTATCCAGGCTGCAACCTCTGTGGTCCCTTGTGAGGGACATTATATACTCCAGGCTGCTGCCCATGCTGTTCAAACTCAATCCTTGGGGTTGACCTGTCACCAACTTAAAAGTTAAAAAAAGCCACATAGACCAGAGTTCCGAGTCGTAAGAAGCAGGTCTACGGCTCACCACCGAGCTCAGTCACCGCTCTGAAAAGGGGGTCAGAGCCTTGCTGACTGTTAGGAAGTCAACAAGACAGGGCTGTGGCCCAGGCTCCGTAACACAGAGGTTCCAACTTGCCGATGGTGTCTTTTGGACTTACTGAGCTCTTGGCCTCCTCTGTGTGATGGGGTCAGGATGAAGCCAGGGGTCAAAAGCTCACAGTAGCTCAATAGTTCTAAGCTGGTGGGGTAGTAGAAGATAGACCTTTGATCTCAAGTGAGCTTGTGTTCCGCTTGAATGCTCGCCACACCACTCAGATTTAGACCGGGTCTCAGTGAAACGAATTGCGATTTGTTTCAATGATTTTCTTTAAAAGCGTGACACTGTGTGTCGGTCACAATTTGCAGATGCTGTTTGTACACACGCACACACACCCTTTGCAAGTTGAATGGGCAGAGAGAAGAAAACAGAAAATCTATAAAGCGAACTGCCCATTATGTTAAGGTCAGAAAACCCAACATGGGGAAGTCGCATGCTGACTACAGTCTGGAGCCCGGAAAACACAAGAGTCGCCCCTCGTCCCCAGGTTTTTCCATAAGGAGAACAGCACCTCTACCATGCAGATGGCTGTGTTCAGTAGAAATTAAAGATGGGCCTGATGCTTCTAAGACTGTACAAACATTAACTGTTCTCCTTAAAAGTAGGGTGAGTGGAGACTGGGGCGGGGATGGGGGGGTGACTCATGGATGTCACAATATGTCACTTGACAGCCATGAAAGAGATCCTGCTTTACTCCTCCAGGAAGATCTATGACAAGTAAACAGCAGGTTAGTTCTCTCTCTCTCTCTCTCTCTCTCTCTCTCTCTCTCTCTCTATCTATCTTTCTATCTTTGTGTGTGTGTGTGCATGTGTGTATGTGTGTATATGTGTATGCCCAAACATGCATGGGCATGCTCATAAACGCACTGTGTATTTATATTAAACACAGTCTTTTTATAGTGCAAGGGAACCCAGACACTGAAGTCTGGTTTGAGTCTAACCTAACTTACACATTATAGGAGCTGGTTCCATCTTAAGGGCAGGCTCACCACAGAGACTCCCTGCTTCCCCCAGTGACCCTCACCCTGCCCAAGAAAAGGGCGCAAGTGGTACCCAACATAGCTAAGAGGTCACCACTATACTTAAGAGAGCTTGCTCTAAAACTACTAGAGTTCAATTCCCAGACCTGCCCCTCAAAATCCCAGGTGACCCGGAGAAGGGAACCAGTTCTTCTGTGTCTAAAAAATGGGGAGAAAGTATCAATGCACAATTACAAAAGGTGCCGCAGAAGAAGTATGCAGAAAGTTCCCAGCAAAACAAGACAAATAGAAAATTCTGGTGCACACCAATACCCCCAGCACGTGGGAGGCAGAGGCAGGTTAATGGAGGCAGAATCTCAAGCTCATCTCAACTTTGTGACGGGGCTGGGGCCAGTGTGGAATACAGGGGACCCTGGCTCAAAAGACCAAAACGAACAGAAGAGCAAACCGCACACAGAAACTCAAGAACCTGAACAGGCACTCCGGAGTCACCAGGCAGAAAGTGACTCCTTACTCCTGACTTGAGGGCTGAGCCTGGTAACTCCTCTCTAGAGCATATATAACACGGGAGGGGGCGGGGAGGGGCAGAATAACTTCCAAGTAGAGAAACTGGCCACTACTACTGAACCGGGTGACCAAAGTTGTGTTCCTAGCGCGTGCTCTTTGACGATGTGGTGAGGTGGCCCTGCGCAAGCTGATCCTACAAAGAGCTCCTACCTGCATCCCAATTACCAGGAAGGCACCTGACATGACTCAAATAGGGGACATCCTAAACACACCAGCACCTGTGTGCAAATCTATTAAGTTCAACAGATACAAGAGCAGGCTGAGAAAGTGCCACAGCCACACGGAGCCTAGAGACACAGAAATGCAATATGGGATCCCAGGTGGATGGGAACCTGGAACAGAAAAAGGACATCAGAGGCCAAATGTGTTGGAAAACTCATGTAATCCCAGCATTGAAGAGGCAGAAGTAGGACTGATGCACATTCTAGGCTTGACTAGTCTATATATCAAGCTCCAGGACAGTCAGGGATACATAGAAAACACTGTCTTGGGGGAGTAGGCAGGAATGACAGTAGGGAACATTTGAGGTCCTCACGCTTGCACAGAAGACATTTTAACAACTGAACCATCTCCCCCAGCAAAAAATAACGCTAATCAAAGATGTCAACTTCCCAGCTCTACAGTAGTAACAGCAGCAGTGGCCGTGATAACATAATAACTAAAGATGCCAGCCTGTCATCTTACACCTCCTGGGCTTGAGCCATCTGTGCCCTCTTTCCTGGAATATCTAGCCATCTTTTGCCTCTGCTCATCAATCGCACCCTCCTGACAGACACAATCCCACAAGATCACGTGAACGGCCCAGGGTTCTTCACCCTGCCCCTTGCTGTGTGACTTCATGGTTCCTGTGTCACAAGAAACTCAGCCCCGTGGGATATTTGCAGATAGGAATCTAGCAGAAGTTCAAATGCACTCACCCAGACTCTCTTCATGGTAAGACTTTCCTCCCTTAGGTCATTCCCCAGCTGGCTCATTGCTCCCAAAATTAGCAGGACAAGAAACGTTAGAATAGTTACCCTGAATACAGTGTTCAAGAACAGTGCCCCAGCTTAATCACAGATGTGAGCAATAAAATCAAGACCAGTGGACCTCTAGCTTGTCCACAGAAGTGTGAAATAATAATGTCCGAAACTCGACTCTGCAAGGGCAGGGAGTTATCCAGCAGTAGTGAGCTGGCAAGCATGTTCAAGGCTCTCATCTCTCTGTGGCTAAGGGATGGCTCTGCTGTTAAGAGTGAGTACTGCTCTTACAGAGGTCCTAAGTTCAGTTCCCAGCACCTACATCAAGTGACCCACAACACTATGGGGTCTAAGGCCCTCTTCTGGCCTCCTTGGGCAGAGCACTCACATACACAGATACACGTACATACGTAATTGATGGGGTTGTCCTCCTGTATATATGTTTCTCTTATTGGTTAATGAATAAAACACTGTTCGGCCAATGAGGCAGGAAGATAGGCAGGTCTAGGAGATAAGGAAAATTCTGGGAAAGGTAGTCAGAGTGAGCCCAGGAGGAGAAGACACATCAGGTGTTCCCAGTTAACCAGTATTTCTATGGAAATACATAGATTAATAGTAATGGATTAATAATTAAAACAGAGCTAGCCAATAAGAAGCCCTAGACACTGGCCAACAGTTTTATAACTAATCTAGCATCCGTGTGTTCATTTGGGGCAAGGCAGCTGAGGAACCGGGTAGGAAATCCCATAACACATAATTAAAAACAGAAACCATGTATTTCCAACAATAACCCTGTGGACCTGTCTTCACACACAGTCACCCTCCACTGCCATTTCCCTCCTTTCAGTCCTGTACTTAGCTGATACGACACTCTTCCAACTCTGACTGAACCCTCCCAACAGTTCTCCACCGACACCTTGTGGTGAATTCAGCAGCTGTCCATTCTGTTACTTAACACCCTCACAGCACTGACCATTTCCCCCTCCATCATTCACAGAGCTGCCTTCCCATGAATACTCCAGAAGCTCACCCTTTGAACACCCACACCTCTCTGAGCTACTGTTATGAATTGTAATGCAAATATCTGAAATGCAGGATACCTGATATTTGACCCCTAAGGGGTCTCAACCCACAGGTTGAGAACCACCATTTTAGAGTTTTATTTCTACTTTGGTGTGTGTCTGTGTGTGTGTGTGTGTGTGTGTGTGTGTGTGTGTGTGTGTACATGATCATTTAGCTACTATATAGAATAAGGAATCAAAATTGAGAAAAGACATACAATATTTGTCTTTCTAGAAACTTGTCCCCAGTCATATCCATTTTCCTGCAAATAATATAACTTCCTCCTTTGTGAATGAAAAAAATCCATTATGTATACATACCAC